CTTACCATGTGCTTATAACGCATTGCATTACCATGTGCTACAATCACGATTACTATGTGCCTACATCATTAAGCCAAGCATGAGAGACCAGCATGATCACAATGTTAGACAATATAACGAATATGAGATACGACATGATTAGCCTTGTGCCTGACAAGCATGATTCCTATGTTTTGACAACATATCCAAAATGCTGAAATAGCATGATGCCATATATAAGGCAGCACCATAGATGTGACGACAGCAGCGTGATAGTGCAGGACATAATGACGCCACCTGCTCTGACAGCAAAGTCTCATACGTTCCACAATGTGATGCCTATGCTGCGAGACAAAACGCGACCATGTGCTGAGACCATGCAATGGCGTCTGAGCACATGACACGGTGTGTGATGATTAGACAACGCGTATGCCTCAGTGATCGCCAACACGCGGATATGGTTGATGCAGTGAGCGATAATATACACCTCCATCTTGCCCGCCGATGCTTTCTTCGCTAGCTAGTTGCCCGAAAAAACATCTCGGCGTGTGCGCGAGCGAGAGAGGCGAGCAGAATATTCACAACTAAAAAGCCACTGCGGCAAAACGTTGAGGTTGTCTCTGGAGTGTCTGCTCCCGCGACGTTTGTGCCGCGTTCGTGTGGGTGCCTTTTCACCCCCATGCAGACAACTAAAGTAAATAAACATGAAAAACGGTGCATTCTCCAACGAAAGGCCGATTCAGTTCCCGAGCACAGCTCCTAGGGCTTCCTATTCTCACTAAATCTCAACAGCGTATCACAGTACCGGCATCTATACAAACAGCATGTACAGTAACGTATCCACCATAAAATGCGTGGAGCACACGCACACGCACACGACTGTCAACCGATCAGAAACAAAGCACTCCCGACTTAGCGCAGCGCTGGGGGTCGCTGACCGGTGAGCTGCCACTCTACATGCTCTTATGGCAGTAACTCCTCGTTGGTTTCAGCTTTGCAAAACTCTCATCCTATATGTAAAATACAAATAAATATACAAACATCCTTGTTTTACGCGAACCGCACTTTGCTGACACGCCGGCCGTATCGCACAACTTTTTCGCTCTTGCACATGGCGGCTTCTCTACGTTGGACTAGTGACCAATTTTCCAAGAATAATGCTGACAGTGTATGAACCGCGCCTACCAATCAACTCGCCGACATTAAGAACACATCCTCATCTGTACAAGCAGTCAATGAAACGTACCCTACTACTTTACAGTAATATAATGGTAATTTGTGCGTGTACTTAAGGAAACCACGCCAGTCTCGAACACCTCTCTTCCCATTTTTTGTCTGACATGAAATGCCAGTATCGCAACTAGGTATTTGAAAAATTCTACTATGAACATGATATATATGCAAAATTCTACTTATAACTATAATGAAAAAGTCCCTGACGGCTTTAGATTTCGCGTGTAAATTATGATGGCAGCATTCTCCACATTGAAACTGCTGCAGATACCGTTCGACATTGCATGCCAAACACTATTGGGAGTAGTATGTAGTTAAGTGCGCTGTGTCTCGTCGACACAAAATACCAAAATGCCCACAGCCCAGTGTCATACTGCTATGCAGGTAATCAAAAAACTGCCCGGGCATACAATACGAGCAGACATTTGTATTCGCCCGTTGTAACTGCGTATTCAATCAGAATTGGGCGGAATTTGGATTAGAATGTGTGGAGGAAGAGTGAGTGCAGTGAGTGAGTGGCTGGAGTTAGTGAATGCGTGATGTGATTGAGTGTGTCAGTGGATTTAAGTGCTGCCATTTGAGCGACGTGATTAGGATTAAGTGGGTGCAGTGAGATGCGTGAGTGATTTACGGCGAATAGTGGCGTCCTGAGTGCAGGTGAGTGAGTGAGTGAGTGGCCCGAGTGAGTTAGGATAAAACGTGCGTGGTGCACGTGAGTGAAAAGTGTCAGTGAAAACGTGAGTGACGTGACCGTGACCGTGGCTGTGAGTGCAGTGAAGAGGCGTGAGTGACTGAGTGGGTGACGATGTGAGAGGGTGAGTGGTGAGTGAAGGAGTGCAGTAAGTGAGTGACTGAGTGGGTAGCGAGTGAGTTTGGCCTGTGATGAGTGAGCGACCCGTGAACGAATGAATAACTCTGCTCCAGCATAGACTACGCGCCGAACAAAAGAGCGGGTTGCTTGTCACCGTAGACGATGGTCGCTGCCGACGTTCGTGTTAACGACCTGTAGGACATCGCGTGCAGTGCTGCCACCTGTAGGACATCGCCGTTCAGGTGCTGCCATCTTAGTAGGACATCGCGTTCAGTGCTGCCACCTGTTAGGACATCCGCGTTCAGTGTGGCTGCCACCTGTATAGCGACATCGCGTTCAGGTGCCTGCCACCTATAGCGACATCCACGTGCCAGGTGCTGCCCCACCATGTTAAGGTTCATCGAGGTCGCCGTCACGTTAGGTGCTGCCACTGTAGTCGGTGCAGGTGCTGCCACCTGTAGTCGTGTTGCTGTCACGTGCTCCAACCTTCACCAAACAGTCCGTAGAGAGCTCTGTAGCGCCACGCTCCTTCGTTACATTCGATCTCATTGTTGCTGAAGTTGGGTCGCATCGTGTGACTGGCGCCGATGGTCTGTGGGCCTACCTTGAGGCTGCCTGCGCCGCACACAGGCCTGGAAGGCGACCGCGTGCATGCATATGTGTGTCACACTGTGCGTGTCCATGAACCTAGAAACACACGTGACGGGATGATCGACATTGTTATTGTTTATAACCACCGTAGCAGTGTTAACATCACTTATTCATGTTATACGTACTCCCGATATTACCATCTGATAGCATGTATTATCACGTATACATGCTATATATACTATTGCTATGGTTGGATTTACAACACATGGTATGCAGAGACATGAATACACAGAAGTAGGCCCTAGAAGCCAATCCTATTCTCCACGAGAGAGAAGGAACTAAGAAGAAGAGAGGCCCTAGAAGAGGTAATTTTAAAACTAATAAATAAATTAAAAAAAATATTGTAAATGTAACCACACAGTAGATAGAGATCGTTGAAATGAACAAGCGGTTTGTATCGGAACTGAGAGAGAGTTACAGTAGAGAGCCACAAGGCGAGGATGACTCACTCTTAAGCCGGGCTTAGGTCGGGTTGCGATTGAATGTGACGCGACGCGATGCACTGCAACTCACTGCGACTGAGTGCTTAGGTCGACGGCAAACGCGCACGACAGCGAATGCCTGCGACCAGTCGCAGAAGGCGGAAAGAGCGCTTTAGTCGAAGCGACGATCGCCTATTGATCGCCGCAACTAAATGATTATCAAGAGACCATTCAAAATGGATCCATCCTAAATGTCGAATTATTCTTTTTTATCTATAACACCTGAATATCCGTGCATCATAAGAACTTTTCTACTACTATAATATATATATATATTATATTAATACATACATCACTTTTAATAAGTAACGGTAACAGTAAAGTAGTGAGGCTGTAGGCTATAATTTATATGCATTTCAGACCTACAGACATAGGACTTACATAACACTATCTAGACTATTCAAGCTATCTACTGACTAGGACTAGGACGCGTTGAAAGAAACTATACCGTTGAAAAAACACCGTGAAGTTACGAGATATCCCGGGAAATTTAGTCTTATTTATTACCTCCGCCAAGGGGTTGGCAGGAGGTTATGTTTTCACCGGCGTGTGTTTGTTGGTTTGTGGGTTTGTGCGTTTGTTTGTTTGTGTACAGCCTAACTGAAAAAAGCTATGGACGGATTGATAACAATATAAATAATTTCAGGATAGGTCAGAAATGAGCTAACTTAGAATTGATTAGATTTTGGTGGTGATCCAGATCCAATTAATTAATTAAATTTTCAGGATAGGTCAGAAATGGGCTAACTTACAATTGATTACATTTTGGTGTGATCCGGATCCAATTAATTAATTAATAAAATTTTTCAGTGAGAGAATTGAGATGCCTTGGCGGAGGTCTGCGCTCTCCGAGTGCTCTAGTTACAATTAATAACATTACGAGAGCCCACACTCCCTCGTAACTGCAAGATTAAGATGAAAACAACGCATTTACACAAAGAATTGCAATTAGAGTGAAACTAGATTTGATATTAATTAGTAAAACGTGTGTTTTTCATGGAAAACATTACTAACTATAAATTATATTGTTAAATAAATGAGAAAGATTATTCATGATTTTTAGGAACATACCAGGTTTGTACAACTGCAACGATAATTCACTTAGATCCCTGTCTTTTTGGAGACGGTCTGAATAAAGTTTCGACTCGTCGAAAAGCAACGGTCGGTCTGACCACAATTCAATAAGTTTTCCTTCTGCTTCGTCTGACCATAGTTCGGTCGCCATTTTTACAGTCACGTGTCGTTCGAACAGTCGAATCTCGCCGCAGCGTTCGCAAGGCAGCTTATGTCGGGTAGTAACCATGGAAAACAATGCTTGCGACCGGTGGAACCAGTCGTGTCGCGTCACGTCGCAAGAGTAGAACATGTGCGACTCGCACGACTGACAATTTTCCAGTCGCAGACCCGTCGCTGGCAGTCGCAGGGGTGCTTAGGTCGAACTTTCTCTGCGACGCGATCGTTCCTGCGACTTGCAACCAGTTGCAGAAAATCAGTCGCAAGGCCGACCTAAGCCCAGCTTTATAGCACACGTATGCAGAGACATGAATAACATAGAAGTAGGCCCTAGATGAGGTAATCGTAAACGAAAACGAACCACAGAGTAGAATAGATTATCGTACGAAAAATTAGGCTCATACTGAAACTGAGAGAATTTACAGTCGAGAGGAAGTAGGGTGAAGGAAGGGAAAGAATGAACAGCAGAGAGGGGTGAGGATGAAGAGAGAGGGGGGAAGACGACTCACTCTTGACGAGGAGCGAACATGTCGTTGCTGACGTAGTGCACCGACGGTGAGAGGAAGATCTGACTAATGTCCTCCTTGATCTTGTTCTTCCCCACGGGCTGAACGTACGGCGTCAGCCGCTTGCCTCCGAGCGCAACGTCTCCTAAAGCGTGTCAAACCAACGTCACAGTCAGGCCATAATAAAAATATTGTTTGTTTGCCCTCACCCGATCGACCCGCCAAAAAGGGGCCGACTCAAAATTTAATTGATGTTTCCCATTCTTTTTTTTCAAATTGTACCACTGTACATGATATAAATCTGTAGGCAATACATTATATGTACCAAGCAAAACAAACATAAAAGGTATCTCCACACAAGCACACCCGAGCATGTAGACACCATGCTGAATTTGTAAAAAGACCCCCCCTCAAAAAGAAGAAGCCTACCTTTTCAGCCTAGGTCAGGTGAGGGCAAATAAAGATTTTTTTAATTGTGGCCTCAACAAACTCCAAAGTTTCTGCTTTATGAGACATCCTACGTCGTACTCACACGAACAGCGGTAATGATTGTATCCGCTCTTGAGCAGG